CTGTGCTCGCCCTTTTGCCCAAACCACTTTGCTCACCTCCGTTATGTAACTCGCCCAAACTTTGCTCAAGCGCTGTGCTCAGCTTTACCCCTGTGTTCAGGGCCCTGTGCTCAACCCTCTGTGCTCCAACCCTGGGCTTATTCAACACCCGACTGTGCTCACCACTTCTATGCTCACCCAATTGTTCTAAACCATCTGTGCTCCAGACAAGACCACCCAATGTGTACCCCTAGCAATCTCTGCTTATCATCCTGAGCCCTTGAGCACCGTTTGCTCACTACCTATGCCCTCCACTGTGCTCAACACTGTGATAACTCTACTGCGATCACCACCCTGTGCTTACAACCTTGTGCTCTCCACCCTGTGCTCAGCCCCCTGTGCTCACACCGGTGTGATCGCATCCCACTTTCCTGAATTCCGTGTGGTAACGGCTCCCTTGTGTAAACCCCATTGCTTCCTCATGTGCCCACACCTGTGCCCAACCTCCCTTCTCCCCACCACATACCCAATTGCTCTTCCCACTGAATGCAACCCTCTTTGTGCTCAATCCCTGATCTCACCGCCTAGTGCTCATCTCACATGTGCTTCCCCTGAAGCTCAACACCATACACTTGTGCCATTTTTGCTGAGGCCCGTGTGCTCAAGCCTTGAGTTGCCGCATAATGTTCACACCGCCCTATACTAAACAAACGTCTTTCTTTACCCCTGTTGTCACACTTTGTTCCCATTCCCAAGCTCAATTCCCTGCGCTCAGCCCCTATGTTCAGCATTCCACACCCTCCCACACCCACCCCACCCTGTGCTCAATTCCCTTTGTTCAGAGCTCTGTGTTGACTCCTCAATGATCTCAATCTATGCTCACCACAGTGTGCTCAGCACAAACATTCGCTCATCCCCATGTTCACACAATACCCATTGCGCTTCCCCCTGTGGTCTTCTGCCTGTGCTCAGCCCCACTGTGGTCAACACTCTGTGCTCGTATCTTCTAATCACCTCACTCTGTATTCACGCCTCTACTTTCAGCCGCCTTTGACCTCACCTCCCCTGTGCACATTCAACTGTGCTCTCCCCAATTGTCACTGCCCACTCTCCAAACCCTTACTCACCCCAGATTGCTGACCTCCACTGTACTCACCCGTACTTTAATTCCCTGCTTACCTGCCTGATGCTACGACCGATTTTCACCAACACCTTGTGATCCAACATTGTGCACCTCAACCACTGTGCTCAGACATTTTGCTCACACCCCTCTGCGGATGCCTCTATGCCAAACCCCCGGTGATCAATCCCCCGTGAACACTCCCTTTGTGCTCAAACTCCTGTGGTCGCGCCAGTACGCCCCCTCCCCCAACTGCTGATGACCCTGCACTAACCCGTATGCTCCACACCTTGTGCTCACACCTGTGCTCATCCACTGCACCCCACGTACTCAACCCCTGTGCTGGTCTGACTGCGCGCAATTTCCCTGTACTCACTCCCTTGTTTCATGCCACTCTGCGCTAACCCAAGGTGATCAACACACTTGTTTAAACCATTCACTGTGCTCGCACTTTGTACACTGGTCTCCACCTCTGTCGTCGTCCCAAGTGTTACCCTGCGATTTGCGGGCACCACAGTGTGCGCCTCCGAGTTCAAACCCTCCCTCTACTCAGCCCCACGTGCTCACCGCTGCTCAGCAGCTTTTGCTCACAATATCTGTGATAGCACCACTTTTCTAATCCCCCTCCCTGTGCATAGCCTTCTCAACCCACCCGCTGTGCTCAGCCACCTGTGATCACCCCTCGGTGCTCATCCCGTGCATTCACCTCTCCTTCTAATTATCATCCCTTGTGCTCACCCCCTGTGCTCTTTCACCTACTCTCACAACCCTGCTCTTAAACACCCCTCTGCTCACATTCCCCTCCACTGGTTCAATCCCTCTGCTCAGCCCCACGCTGCTTGCTCCCTATCCCTTTGCTCAAACGCTGTGCAGGTTAGTAATCCCGGCGTGACAAAAACGCTGCCCTAAACCACACTTCCGTCCCCCCCCAGCACGCCTCCCTTCCCCCGAGTTTAATAATAATAAACTAACATCTTGTAGGATACAATCGTTATCAGTGTTTCTCAAACTGTGATTTACCGGAACATCAGAGCTGTAAAATGCTCAGAGAGTGAATTGTTTACCTGAGCAGCTGACGCCGGCATCATATTGGTGAGACCAGTAATAGTGACCCCAGGGATCTGAGGGACATTCCCTCAGAGTAGACTCACTCCCTCTGCACCGAACATCATACGTCACAATGGGACCTGAGCCCCTCCCAAAGTGAGCGCCTCCTGGTGCTGACAGCGCGGCTCCGCAGCCCAACTCCTTACACACCACAGCCGCGGCCTTCATATCCCAGGACTGACCATAATAGCCTGAGCTTTGCACTGTGCCCCATTGTCCTCTATGGTAAACCTCCACTCTCCCGGCACACGGGCTGCGGCCATTCACCAGCCTCACACCCTCTGAAAAACATCATATCCAATATTAGGAGTCTGTTACCTGTTTGACTTCCAGTCACTCAGGATAGTATAACATAATGTACACGTACAGAGCAGCGGGGACATTGAACGTATGTTTGGTGTTAAACAGTACAACAACAATAATAACCATTATAACGGTTGCAGTGATTGCTGGCTACATGCAGTCCATAACCCTGCTGTCAAAATAACAGTAACGGTTTACTCCATCAGTACCTGCAGCAACTACGTTTGCAAACAAAGGATAGTGTTATTATACATTATATTATAATACTCTATATCATTATATTTTATATTAAATTATCATACTTTTATACTGGAGTATTAAAATTTTGTTTAAATTAATCAATTTTATATTAGATTATTATAATTTATGTTATTTTATTGTAACTTATATTTAGATTTACGGTCAGGGCAAAATTTTAGGCAAGTTTCCTGACTCCACTTTTTTCTGATTGCCTGCCAAGCAGTGGGAACCCAGCAGTCAATTGACGGATTTATTTTCAGCGTCTGATAATCCCTTAAAATAACAGTGATTTCGTCACTCAAACAATGAATGTTTGCGGGACACCACTGTGTGCAATTAGCTGCCGCATTTCGCCCACAGATTTAATAATAACCTCCTGTGCTCGACCCCTGTGCTCAACCCCTGTGCTAGCCTTCCGTGTGCTCATCCCCTTTTCTCACTCACACTGTACTCAAACGCTGTGCTCACGCCAATGTTGTCATTCACCCATGTGATCAACTTTATTATTAATAAATCTCAACCCTTTCGCTCAGCTCCCCTGTGCTCAACCGTTTCCTGTTCTCAAACTCCCTGTGCTCACACTCACCGTGCTCACCACACACGCCGTGCATAGCGGCGTCCCTGTGCTCATCCTCACTGTGCTCATCCCTCCCCTGTGCTCACACCCACTGAGCTCTCCCAATTGTATTCATGCCCCTTGTTCTCGCCAGATGCTCTCATCCATCCCCACCGTGTGCTCAGCGATCCCTGTGATCATTCGAGATGTGCTCAACCCTTGTGATAGAATTTCATCTCCTCAGCGCCTATGCTCAACCACCCTGAAATCACAATCTCCCAGTTCTCAGCCCCTGTTGCTCAGCCCCATGTGCTCAAACGTTGTGTTCAACTCTGTGCTCACCCATGCTGTGCTCATCCCCTTGTACTAACCACCATGTGCTCATCCCCCATGCTGAGTCGCCTGTGCTCACCAATACATCCCCCTCCTGCTCATCCCACCACACAACCCTCTCCTAGAACGAGCTGATGATCAATGAAAAACTTGTTTAACGAAGCAGATGACGCCGACATCATAAGCATGTTTCCGCAATAGCCACCCCAGGGCCATCAGGTGAAACATAACGCCACCACCCCACCCACCCCAGATGTAATAATAATAAAGTGACATATTGTGGATACACTCTTTATCAGAATCTCACAAATTACGGTTAAGCGAAAACATGAGAAATAAAAAACGATCAGAGAATGTATTATTTACCTGAGCAGAAGACGCCGACATCTTAGGAGTGTGACAACCAGTAACGGTGACCCCAGGGCTTTGACTGACAGCTCCTCAGAGTAGACTCCATCCCTCTGCACCGAACATCGTACGTCACAACGGGACCTGAGCCCACCCCAAAGTGAGCGCCTCCTGGTGCTGACAGCGCGACTCCACAGCCCAACTCCTTACAAACCACAGCCGCTGCCTTCATATCCCAGCCATAGTCACCTGAGCCATCCACTGTACCCCATTGACCATCGTGGTAAACCTGCACTGTCCCGACACATGAGCTGCCTCCATTCACCAGCCTCACTGTCATACTCACTGTAAATTATCGGACAAAATCGGCATAATAGAACACAATGTACATCTCTTTTCTGGGGGAAACAATCCATTGAAAAAACATAAAGTTTTGGTCACTGAATCCAACAATATTTGTGAGACCACGCTGTGTGCGATTGGCTGCCGCGTTTCGCTAACAAAACATAGAGCAGATTCCCATTGCAGCATATTCTGTGATGTATTTTGAGACGTTTCGAATACGCGATTAGGCGCAATATCAAATGATATTAGTTGTAGTTTAAATTCGGCTTTTATATTTTATATTTTATGGTTACACTTCATATAATTCTTTGTATGGTTATACTTTATATAACATTATACCTTATATAACGATCGGAGATTTGCTACTAAAACATAACCATGGTTTTCTACTTTGATAAAGAATACATTTGTACAGATGTGTCTCTCTAGAACGGTATGTATTTTTCTGCTAACATTAATTTCTTTTGCACAATATCATGTAGAAATATCTATTTTGGGATGAGATTTTTTAAAAAATATATATAGCATTAACGATAGGAGAATATGGAAAGTATTGCCATGACATAAGCAAATGGAAACAATTTTATTGAAGTATAAATCATGTCTGTATTTCATTCGGTTATTGCATTGTTAGCAGATACATAGAAACAATCACAGCTGTTGTCCTTCTATTAGTGTATTAATGGCTCAGGTTTGCGGCTGTACTAGATGCACAGTTTATACACAAACACAGAGAGTTAGTGTATAACTCTCTCTGTTTAGAGAGCCACACTCAACACGATCCCAGGCACAGCGCCCCCACGCCCCCAGACACCAGGTTATATTCCCATACCCCAGCCTACAGCCCATCTCCCAGGTTATATCTCTTCCCTCAGTGTATAGCTCCTCCCTAGGGCACACATATAGCGTCATCAACGAGGTCGCACTCTCCAAACCACAAGTGTCACCCTGATTATTTCCAACATCCCAATATGTAGCAGCTTATGAAAGAACTCCTCCAAGCGCTGCAAAACTGCCGGCACCAAAAAAAAACAGTTACACAGCGTCCCTCACACAGGATTTCCTCCCTGATCGTTTGACAGTAGTGCAGCGTGACTCCGAATCAGGGGGATCGCGTGGTGCCTTTAGGCATGGTCGATTAGGAAGGTATTCAGGCGGCAACTGGACATGGAGAAAGAAGGGGCAAGGTATCGGGATAGAGGAAGAGTGCTCATGCTCCCACAGCAAATTTTGGTTGTTACATTGTGTCACTAACCTGCAGTTTCCACAGTTTTTCTCTCCAGAAATATCACTGTACAAGGGAAAGAAAGGGCAAAGCAGGAATTACTAGTACAATAATTCACCCAAACATGGAGCTAATCTGCCCGTATCTCACACAATTGTTCCTTAAATTCAGGCAACCAATTACGTTCGCGCTGAAGAAGGTCGCTCGTGTGGGATTGAACACCAGTACAAATAAACAGGGAAAGCGAAGACAGAGAATGGGATTACTGTAGAGATCACACAGTGGAACTGAGCAAGTATATCTTTCAAAGGCTCACAAACACACCATTGGGCTAAACTGCATTTTCTGGGCAAAATAAATGCAAATAACTGCAAATGCTGGAAACCTGAAAACAAAAACAAAAGTCACTGATGCTGCCTCACAAGCCGACTGTTTCCAGCGACTTCAGTTTTTTGTTTTCTGTCCAAGGATCGTTTACGTTTATTTTTCTCTTTGGAGTCATGGAGAAGAAGCAATTTGGTGATGACAACCCAGAAACTGAAAAAAAATATCTGAATAGGCAGAGCAGATTGTATCTCGTTTTCGGTATGGAGTTTGCTCACTTGTTTTTGTTTTTCCTGGTAGCTCCTGTCCCGTTACCCATCAACAACAACTTGCATTTTGACACCTTGTTTTTATATAGCAATATAGGTTAATGTGGGGAAGCTTAGAAATGACTTTCCCTCCTCAATGTCCCCTTTCTCTTTCTCCCCACTTATTCATTCTCCCCTCCAGCCTCGCCTATACGGATAACAAACAGATACGATTCGTCAGGGCTCTTCACTTCAGAAGGATGTCCGAAGGCGCTCGAAAAACTGTATTTAGGATATGAGATGGTGTACTGCATTCAAGAGTTTGGAGAACAAAGAATAACTTGGGTTAACCATCGCATGGTCAAAAAGGTAGTGTATTCAGATTTATGATGAAGGGAAGCAAGGAAAGGGCGCGGTAGGGGGACTGCACAAAAGAGTTCCAATGGTTGCAGAGTGGCAAAATGCTCCCTCGTCGATGCTGGGGCGGTGCGGTGGGAGACATGAATCAGGCTGGAGTCCGCTGAGCTGAGGGAGAGGGCAGATTGGTAAGGCGTTAGGAAATCGCAGATGTAGGGGGAGTGAGGCCATGGAGGGCATTCAGGTTGCGGAATCAGATCCTGAACCTATCCAACGGAGTCAGGCCAGGACGGGTATGATACGGTCACAGAGTCTGGTGGAGGAGATGACACGGGCTGCAGATTCCTGGGTGATCTGCGGCCGATAGAGTGAATAGTTGGGGAGGATGACAAGCAGTGACTTTGCATATAGAAGCCTGGATGTTATGAAAAGCACGTATGAAATTTCCTGCACCCTGCGGTGTAAGACATTGGCGGACCCGTTTAATGTTGCGGAAATGGGGGAAGCCAGCGCGGGTCATTGCACGATTTTAGGGGAGAAAGGATAGTTCAGGGTCAAGAAAGACGCCTCTCACTCATCTCTCCATTCCATCTCTCTGGCTGGGGAGAATCTGTGATTGGATTATAAGAATAATTAATAATCCTTGCGTTTGAAATAGTGCTTTTTACGTCGTCTAGACGTCTCAAAACTGTTCACACAATATGCTGTAAATTTAATTGATCTTATATACGTGGGCGAAACACGGCAAACAATCGCGGATTGAAAATGACCAAATTATTATTGTTTTATTTTGCAGGGATTGTTACTAGGCGTGTGGAGTAAGGAAACTTGAGCAAGGTTTTGCCCTGCCTGGAATTGAACCAAAGTATCTCGCTTGCAAGGCGAGTGCTCCAACCTCCGAGCTACATAATACCACTTTACAGTACATTCCCATAAATATTCGTGGATTGAAACGCTACTCACCAAAGATAATAAACAATGATTCCATGACGAGAATGAGGAGGAGCTCGTGTGAAGAGTAGAGCCTGGAGGCTTGTGATTTTGTCCGACGGGGAGGGAAATTTGCAAACTTAAAACACCTGAGTAACTTGAGTAATTCTCAAGAGAAGCTTTTGACAGGGTCACTGAGCTCTGTGTTCACCAAACATCCACTTTTCTGTAATACTTACAAAGAAAGCTGTTGTGGCACACACCGAGAAATAATCTGACACACATACAGACACATACACACACTCAGATACACGGACAGAGGCAGCCTGAGCTGTGATAGACACATACACAAACGCACACACGCAAACACTCAGAGAAGAACACGAAATGTGACGTACAGATGGATATAAAGCGACGTTCAGATATGGGAATCAGAGACTTGGTCTCTCTCTCTCTCTCTCTCTCTCTCTGTAGAGACCAAGCGGAACGAACTCGACTCGTGATGTCCTTGACAGGAATTGTTGCACAATTTGCCTCAGCCGCAAAAAAAAACCGCCAGTGTGCAGCTGAATCCGAGGCAGTTAGTTATTTTAGTATGGTGAGCAAAGCCACAATTGGGAGCGGTCAACTAAGCTGGAAACCCAGCGCTGTGCATTTTGTGGAAAGAAGAAGTGGGGGTTTCCTGGTGTTACATTTGACACTTCTGTATTGCTGTGCGCAAAATTCTGTGTGTTTGTGTCCGTCTATAAATAGACATTCACAACATGTCACATGAATTCCCGTGAAACAATAAGAAAGGATTGCACGCAAACCTGGAGTGAAATGTAATAATACATAGACAGGAGAAAACACAGATTTACGCTCTCAGATTAGACTCTTTGCAGGATTACCTACTTCCTCTTTTCAGTTGCTCACATTTTATATTTTCTTGCGACATCCTTCTTTCCTTCCCCGCATGTTTCCGGGCATTCACTCCTGATGACAGGACAACACAGCCTGGCTCATCGGCTGGATCTGGAAAGGAAGAAAGATGACTGGGGGCAGGGCATCTTCCCACTCAGCAGAAAGATGACTGGGGGCAGGGCATCTTCACCAAAGTCTCAGCTAACGTGGTCCTCAATGGACAAGCAGCAGGAAGCTTGCCAGAGAGCGCTCTGAATAACAAGCTGTGTGGGGTTAACTGGTTAGACTGCAACAGATACCAAACACACACTATGACATCAGCCAAAACATGGCTCAGAAGCTGGAGCTAAAAGAGCATACAAAGGCAATACATTTGGAGGTTGTTCATTTGGGTTTCCAGGAAGCGCTTCATAAACTGATAAACTGATGCACAGAAAGCGGTTAAGAAATCCAGGCCCACGATATTGGTGTGCTCTACGGTATGCTACCCTCGGTGATGGGCTCTACATAAATGCACGTTGTTGTTTATCTAGTGCGATGGAGTGTGTATATTAATTGTTCAACCGATATAGCCAGAGGTAGGTCATCCGGCCCATCGGGTCCGTGTTTACTCTTTGAAAAAGCTGTCCAAATTAATTTTATTGCCCCGCTCTCTCAATATCTCAAGACAATATCTTCATTTGGGCTTTCAGCCTCTTTGCCATTATCCTCTGGAACTTCTTCCCACATTTTCGTCACTTCGTAAAATCCGTTGCCTCATTGAAGGAATGCCTCGAGGCTGTCCCCTTTGACCTTGCCTTCGGTCACCTTTCTATCCTCTTAGAGGTAGGGAAGATTGTGAAACCATTGGCTAAGGTGGAAGTTAAGAGGTTGTGAATCAAAAGATCGAGTCATGAATGGAGAGATCGGTATATGGAGTCCTGTAGCTCAGTGGTAAGAGCACTCGCTTTGCAAGCGAGAGACCTGAGTTCAATGCCAGGCAGGGCGGAATCTTGGGCAAGTTTCCTTACTCTACATGCCTAATAATAATCCCTCCAAAACCAAATACAATAATAAAATATGTCATTTTTCAATCTACAATTGTTTGTGGGACATTGCTGTGCGTAATTGGCTGCCGCGTTCGCCCACAAACATACAGTCAATTCACTTTACAGTGTGTTCTGTGAAGCGCTTTGGGATGTCCTCCCGATGTGAAAAGCGCTATATCAAATGCAAGGATTAGTATTATTATTATTATTTCGCAGTATCATCAGTGAAATGCCTCAAGGAGCCCTGAAGCGAATGATAGTACATCAATGGCAGGGAAAGCAATGATGTTGTATATTTGATCTGTCAGGTTGCTTAAGGATATAATTCACCTTGTCCACTCCCTTTTCTCCTTAAAAATACGTCTCTAGACACTCCTCTTAAACCGTCACTTCGGTAACCCTACTACCACTAGCCTCTCTATCTTCCTCCTCTCCTGCTTCTAGGCGCAAGCTGGAGTAGAAATCACTGAATGCTGCGTTAATGTGAATTTTTGTTTTGACGCTCTTTTAGAATAATCAACAATGCAGTTGATGAAATGTGACTTTTTCTTTTATGAGATGATGATAGACATTCCAACGTTGATCTGCATGTAACTGAAATTTCTTCACGCAGCCCGATAGGTCGGCTATCAGCCTTTCTGCCGTAAAGCTCTTGAATTTCTTCCCATATTTTCTTCATCGCGCTCGCTTTCTTGCCTAATTCAAGCCACAACTCAAAATCATCCTATTCGACCCTACCTTTCGCCACGCTCCTACACGATTTGCCCTTCATCCTCGCTGATTCAAAGCACCGAACAAATAACATCCACGCCCCCCAACCCCCACACCACCGCCATCACCACTCCACACCCAGTCTACCCTCCCGTGTCCGAATCCCTGACTGTTCAGCGATTCGGGTCGTCCTCCTGACATGAACAACAACAGCAGCAAATTGGATTTATATAGCGCCCTCCACGCCGGACGGCGTCTCAATGCGCTTCACAGTAACTGATCCCGAGGCCGAGCCACGGGGTGGGGGAGGAAGGTGACCAAAAGCGCGGTCGAAAACAAAGGTCTTGAGAAGGGACCTGAAAATAGGAAGAGAGGGTGCGAGGCGAAGCGACTCAGGAAGGGAGTTCCATGTACTCGGGTCATAGTGGCTGAAGGCACTATATGTGCAGGAGAAGGAATAGAGGGCTGTAAGAGAGGGCAATATAGGGACGTATGATGTGGCAATAAAGGGGTGTAGGAGTGGGGAATAGAAGGGTATGGGCGAGTAATAGTAGGTGGTGTTACGGGGGGTTTGGTGGTGTGGGGCAAACGGCGGAGTTTACCAGTTTGTCGAAATGTCTTGTTTTTCTGGATCATTCTATGCCATTTGTGTATTCGGTGACAAATTATATAAGTTCCGCTTTGTCTTTCAGGTTTATGTACAGTTTTCCAATGGAGAAATTCTGACAGCTCGATGTGCATAAACAGGAGAGCATGTGAGTGTTCTTGGGAAACAGTAACTTTTTAAAACAATTGACAGTGCAATTAAACAAATGTGAGATTTGTCCTATTTTCTCCAGAGTAACTTTGAGCTGATGACAGACATTCCATTGTTAATCCATTCAATTCTTCCCAAGAGGCATATCTTGACTCTGCCGCTCTTTACTGAGATGGTTCTGAATAATAATGAGCCCAGCTAAAGGTTGTGGTATCACTCTTGTTACCGTTGTTGAGTTAAATTTATGTTTGCAAAATCGTGGTAAATAAAGCAACATATGTCCACTATTCTGTTTAATCTCTCAAGGCCTTTTTGTTGCTTTGAGTAATCAAGATTAAATTGAGAATTCCCCATCCCTGAGATCTTGTCGGATTTTGACAACCTTACAATCAAATAAGGAAGTCAGTCTCCAATCTGATATAACTCGGGTGACAATAGGGGGAGTAAATATTGCTCCCTTTTAAGCTGCAAGTTCAATACAGTGTAATACTAATCACATTTGTACAGTGGGTTTCACGTCGGAAGTTCAGCTGCTAAACTGCACGAGAGGAAACTGGTAAACAATGTTTGCCCAATCTAGTTTAATTAATGTGAAATCTAATGGTACAATAATTCTCATTGTTGTCTGTTCATTGTGTAAATAGTTTGGCTTTAAGTTTGTCTAATTCTTAAACATTATATCTGTTTCTAAATCCGACAAGATCTCAATTTACTCTTGAGTACTCAAAGCAACAAAAAGGCCTAGAGAGATTAAACAGAATAGTGGACATATGTTGCTTTATTTTCCACGACTTTGTGTGTATGCAATACCTGACCTCTGGCGTTTTTGGTTTAATAAATTGTACAAACATTACAGCATTTTCATAGCAAAGCATCAAGTGGCAATTTGAATGCGTCTAAGTATCATTATCTCAATCAACCTTTCTTGTAAGCTGTTCAACCCTCTCTCCCTCCCTCTCTGCAGGGAACAGATTTCTCCGTGTTTCTGTTTGTAGTTACTCAGACTTTCCCTCTCTCTCTATTTCTACCGAGATCACACAGAACCAGAATGAATTGTGATATATTTGAAATGAGTTATTTGCCTCAGCATCACACACAGACACGCACGCACAACCGGCTAGTGTGCAAGGCCTGCTTCTCTGTATCATTCTATGCCATTACATGTCGGTGTATCTCTCTCTCGCGTCTCTCTCTCTCTCTCTCTCTCTCTCTGTGAGTCTCTCTCATACACAGGTACACTGTGTCTCTCGCTCCATTTGTGTCTCCCACGCTCTCAGTCTATATGTTTCTCGCGGAGATTCTCAAAAGAAATGATAAATTGAGGTGCAGTTTGTACCGTTTTTATTGCAGATGTTAAGGATCACGCGAAACTTTTGATAAAAGAGACTGCAGTTTCTCCAGGTGTTAAAGTTCAGACCAGTTCAATTCAAGTTGTACGAAAGTATTCATGTTGGAAATTGTGTCAAGTGGGAAAGACTGCTGGACAGCTGAGAAACTGCCATGGTGTTAGCTTAGCATCATTACCGTACTCTCTGGAACATGGGCCAAAATATTGACTTGAAAAATGAAAAGAATGCTCACAGAAATAAATAATTTCTTCAGGGGAGTTTTTNCTCTATGTATTTCTCTGGACACTGATCCCACTTCGAATCTGCTTTTTGTCTTGTCGACAACATTATAATCAAGTAAGGAAGCCTTTTCCAATCGGCAGTACATCGGTTGAAAACAGGGAAGGTAATATTGCTATTTTTGAAGCTGCAAGTTCAATACAGTATAATTCAAATTACATTGTTCAAGGGTCTTTTACTTCAGAAGTTCAGCTGTTTGTGCAAATTAATATGATTCATGTGAAATCTAATTTAACATTGCTCACACTCTTTGTCTCTCACACACACACTGTCTCTGACACTCTCTCACTCACACTCTGAAGCACAATGTCGTTCAAACTCTCAGTCTCTCTATCTCCATCTGTGGCTCTGACACTCTCAGTATCCCTCAATCTGTTTCTCTCAAATTCTCTGT